ACTGGATCTAGGACTTGTCAGTCTGTGTCCCACTCATCAACAGAGTTGACCACATTACTCGGACTTGTCAGTCCATGTCCCAAATAAAAATCTATGGTAACACAGATGGTATAATAACGGCACCAAGTTTGGTACTTTCCAAAGTCTGGCTTAGACGTTCTCATGTCAGCTCTGACACCAGATTCACTCAAGTCATGATGGTCTTCTCCGTCTCCTGCCCACTATGTCTGCCCACTATGTCTGCCCACTTTGTCTGCCCTCTGCCCACTATGTCTGCCCTCTGCCCACTATGTCTGCCCTCTGCCCACTATGTCTGCCCACTATGTCTGCCCACTATGTCTGCCCTCTGCCCACTATGTCTGCCCACTATGTCTGCCCACTATGTCTGCCCACTATGTCTGCCCTCTGCCCACTATGTCTGCCCACTATGTCTGCCCACTATGTCTGCCCACTATGTCTGCCCACTGCCCACTATGTCTGCCCACTATGTCTGCCCACTATGTCTGCCAGCGAATCAGTTCTATGACATCCAGCAACAAATATAAATAATTTTAAAATAATATTCGTGAGTTTATATCTTTTAGTCAATTTCTTCAAAATGAACTACTCTTTTATAGTGTACACATCTTGAGAACCATATAAAAAAAGAATCTTTCATTTTAAAAAGAATTGTCGATAAAAGAGAAAAAGGTTTTGACATAATATTATAGTAAGTAGATCTACATGTACTTTGTCTATGTGACGGTATCTTGGTATTGATACATTTATGCTGCCAAAAGTTCATTATTATCATTGCATAAATCATATATTATTATAATAACATACATTCGATTTCGTTAACATTTCATCATCCTCTTTCTCTTTCACTTTTCTAAAACATGTTTGTCAATGTATCTGTGGGTAGGTGGTTGGCAGGTGCTCTGGGGTGGTTTGCTTTTTCTTTCCCATCAAACACCTATCGTCCTGATCTCTCCTCTTTTTCTCTCCTTCTTTTTTCTGTTTGTTACTCTCTTGTAACACCTCTAATCTTCGGCTCTTTTTGACTTTATTGTGTTGCAAGAGCCGTAAAACTCTTACTAAGTTATACTTTTTTTTAAAAAGCATTTGCAGAGTACATCGTGTACGTCTTTCGTAGCGCTGTGACTATATGGCGAGGTGTACTGGTCACCACTCATCAATTTCCAATTATTAATTATTTCACAATTACATCGCTGAGCCAAGCATTAAAAAATGATACTCACTTTCACAATAGCAGTACCAACAATCGAAAATTGACGTATCTCGCAAAATGTCCCTTTCTTTTCGTGTTTCCACGACACGTATTGCATAGGTGGCCCACCCCTTGGTGTTATGGAGGAGGATAACGTACGTCCACAGACAATATTTCATCTTTGATGCAAACTGGGTTTTTTTCTTAATTAACGCTTTCTCCAGCCAGCGAAGCCAAAGACAACTTACTATGGGTGTTGCCCAAGAGCTCTATCTTATCCTTGCTTCGTGACCATCATGAAAACATCAACAATTCACACATTCTTCTTCTGCTGCTGCGGCCGCTGCTGCCCATTAAAACATGAAGAGATACTAATGAACAATGGTACAATTGATTGCCATACTGTAAGTGTACGGTAAAACTTTTAAGTTTAAGGGATGGGGCAAGCGAGCGAAACTGACGAATTTGAGCAAGTTTGGAGGGGCAGACGGGTAGGATGGGGAGGGGGGTGACGGTGGCTGAGGGGAGGAGTGGGTGGGGGGTGG